GCCCTTTTGCTGGGAACATTTTTGTCATTAGGCGCTATTGCATAAGGGCATATGCACATATGCCCTTCTGCCGGGCACACGACGTAATTATGTAGATTAAAAGTGTTTTCCAGATGTGGAGCAACCACAAAAACATATCTTTGGGGGCCTGGCATCCATTTAAAAAAAAGGGGGGGTAATTATTATGCACACCTTGGGAAAATTGTGCCCATATTTCATGAACGAATAAAACGTCCCACAGACGTTTATATTAATGAGAACAAAAATTCCAGATGTGAAGCCATCTGGAACACAACCTTTTAGAGGCGTGGCAACCATATTAGAGAAAAGGGCCCCCTTTTTCTCTAATATGGTTTCTTTAATATGGGTTTCATTATGCCCACCATGGAAAAATTGTTCCAACATTCATAGAAAATGGAACTTTCCACATACATTGACATTTATGAGAGAAAAAAATTCAGATGTGGAGCCATCGCAAACACACCCTTTTAGGGGCGTGGCAGCCATATTGAAAAAAGGGGGCGGGGTTCTCATTATGCCCACCCTGAGAAAAATGTGCCCACATCTCATAAACGAATGAAGCTAATTCCAACAGACATTAATATTCACGAGAAAAAAATTCAAACGTGGAGCCATCGCAAACACACACGTTTAGGGGCGTGGCAGCCATAGTAAAATGGGGGGGGGGGGGTAGTCATGATGCCTCTATAAAAAAGTTGTGCCTACCTTTCCTAAACGGATCAAACTCCACAATGACAATATATTCATGAAAATCTTTCTTTTTTTTGAATGTGAAGCCATCACAAACTTACATAACATCACGGAATCCATTCTGAAAGGGAGGGGGGTGTGGTTTTTACTCAATATGCCCGCCGTGGAAAATTTTGACCACTTTTCATACAATAAAATCCACATCAGACAGCTCGTTTGATGTGTTGGAGTAGGGCCGCCTTTATAATTGGAGGTGACTGTTGGCAAACCCTTTTTCTTTCTTACACTATGCATTTTGCCTCATCTATATTAACCCAGTTACTGGTTCTGTCGTCTGTAGGATTATTGTTAACCTCTCAACTGCAGCAATTTCTGAATTGGGGTATAGACTGGGGTACCTCAGTTAGTCTTGGAAAGACTATTGTTTCTTCTTCAAATATATTATATGTTTCCCATCCTTTTTTGTGACAGACCCGAAGGCATATGTTGTCAGGGCTACTGATATTTTTTAATGGATTTGGTTGGGGTAAAACACTCATCAGAGATATTGATATACAATTTTTCAGTGAACGGAGGGGGGTGTGTATAGTGGGGGTACACAGATTCATTGAATGTGAAGTCACAGTGGACGTGACCACCATTTTGTGAGGAGAGTACATCGTGTAGTGACCCAATCTGCTGTCAATGCGGCGCAACGGGTAGGGGTAGGGAGATTTTGCACCCCCACTAAGCGAAAAAGAAACAGATAAAGTAAAAAAAAGAAGAAGAAAGAATGGACTGAAAGTCAATATTTTTCTTCACATTTAACGTATATTGAAGACTATTAAAATGACCATAAAATGTCATTATAAACTGTTTTAAACAGCGCCCCAAGCGTCACATGACGCCCCCCCCCAAAAAGGATTTCTTTGGCCCTTAAATGTTAAATGTTAGAGTTTGGGGCTACCATTGTGTGCTGTGTATTTGTAATTATGAATTCACTCTGGAATTTAGATGTGCATGATAATATAGGTACATGTACACACGTTGAACCCTATAACTGGTTAGCCTACCGGAACTTACCCATGCTCTTTGGTATAAGTCATAGTGTTACCAAATAATGTCATATTCAATGTAGGTTATTTGGAAAAAGAACATTAACGTCTGTGGGAATTAGCTTCATTCATTTATGAGATGTGGGCAACTTCCCATGGTGGGCATAATGAGAACCCCGCCCATTTTTTCTGATATGGTTGCCATGCCCCTAAAAGGTTGTGTTCGAGATGGCTCCACATTTTTCTCCCTCATGAATATAAACGTCTGTGGGACGTTTTACTCGTTCATGAAATGTTGGCACAATTTTTCCCAAGGTGGGCATAATAATTACCCCCCCCTTTTGAATGGCTGCCACGCCCCCAAAAGGTAATTTTGTGTTGGCTCCGAATCTGGAAACCACTTATAATTTATAAAATTTTGTCTTTGTGAAGTTTCCTGCTTTTGTGACAAGTGGAACAATTGTTTTCACTGCGGGCATGATGAGTCCCGCCCCTTTTTTAAATGGATGCCACGCCCCTAAAAGGGTGAATATGCGATGGCTCCACATCTAAAACATTTTCTGGCATGAATATGAACATCTGTGCCAAGTTTCACGCTTTTCTGCGAAAGTGCACAATTCATCGATATTTTGTCACATATCCGGGGGCGCACGCGCTGAGGTATACCAAACCACTTCAGACCATGCTCACAAGCAACGGTCAATAATCTCCAAACACGCACGTTATTTGACGATAGTCCGTATACTCTTTAACGAATTCGATTTTTCTTTGATGAATGTTTAACTTGCATGCATGGGCGTCGCGAGGGGGAGGGGAGGTTGAACCCTATAACTGGTTAGCCTACTGGAACTTACCCATGCTCTTTGGTGTAAGTCATAGTGTTACCAAATAATGTCGTATACAATGTAGGTTATGGGCCAATCAACATTACAAGAACTCAGCCACAAAATATAAAAAATGCAATTGTGGGCACAGTGAGTAGGCCCCTCACGCCTCTGAAAGGATGAGTTTGCGGTAACTCCACATCTGAATTTATTTTCTTTCATCAAGTTTGTGTGAAGTTTACTCATTTATGAAAGGTAGGCACAAGTTTCGAATGATTAGTCCCGCCCCCTCCCCAATTTTTTAAATGGATGCCAGGCCTCTAAAAGGGTAAGTTTGGGAATATGAACATCTGTGCCAAGTTTCACGCTTTTCTGCAAAAGTGCACAATTCATCGATATTTTGTCACATATCCGGGGGCGCACGCGCTGAGGTATACCAAACCACTTCAGACCATGCTCACAAGCAACGGTCAATAATCTCTTAACACGCACGTTATTTGACGATAGTCCGTACACTCTTTAACGAATTCGATTTTTCTTTGATGAATGTTTAACTTGCATGCATGGGCGTCGCGAGGGGGAGGGGAGGTCAAGAGGGGAACTCCCCCATCCACCCCCCAAAAAAGGGTGTTTAAAAAAGGAAAAAGACAATGAAAAAGAAAAGTTTTTTTTTTATTTTGGGCACATGGATATCCGTTTTACGAGTATAGCCTGGTCCCCATCCCTTCATTACCGATTCCGATGGGGGAAAAGGGGGAACCAGTACCCAGCCAGAGCTGAACTAATTTCGGGTCTCAAATATAGATTTTCCCGTCCAATTTCGTAACCTGTTCATTCATTCAGAGAGAATGTTCATTTGTTACCGGTTCCTTCGAAATGAGTCTTATTTCTTTTCACCAATACGTTTTCGCATAAGGTGTAAAGCACATAAACTGGTCTTCATTTTTTGTTACTTATCACTCAGTTTGAGATCTAAATTCATGCAGATGTTATGCGGGTTGACTGTTCCTATTGATTTTATTGTGTAAGATTCTGTGTAAGATTTTGCTAAAAACTAGCTCTGGTGGCTTGTAACTCGTTTTGTGATTTGGTCTTATTTCATTTCTAGGTTTCAGAGAGTCGGGCACAAATGCGGTTTCTTATTCGCAGTTAGAGCATTAGGTTTCGCACTGATGTTAAAAAAAGCGTGTGTTTAAAATGTTTCTTGCAAGAAAATCCCATTTCGTTTGTTTGGTTTTCGACTTCGAACTGAATATAGGCAAATTCGATTTGTATTCATTTTCAAAGGAAGTGCCATGAAATTAGGAGTCACCTTAATTTGGCGTTATTTGATGTAATCAATTTAATTTAAAGAAATGTATAGGATTTCAAAAATCGTTTTCAATATCTTTTTATTTCCACAAAGTGATTAAAACCATTAACAGACTGGTCACTGTGGCCTGCATAACATTTATAAAAATCTGTCTTTTTACACAGTATTTTATCCACAGTTTTTCAATATTTATTTCCTTCTGTCAGTTTTAACCTTTATGTTGCGGGTAGGAATATGTTATCGAGTTAGCTAGTGACGTCATAGACGTAGATATTTTCTTGGTCAACAGAGGGCTCTCTCAGCGCACGAGCTTTGTCACAAATTGTCTTAAGTTTGTCAAAACCCGTCAAAAGGTTCCTTTGATTGTGATTATATTTCATATGCCCAATGTTGAGAGTACTGTTATTTGTTTAGAAGTTGGGAAAGGGTTTTGTGGCAAACTCATGGTGGCGCACTGCATTGTGAATCGCCCAAATTAAACTAATTCACAAGTTAGGTTATTTGCTACCTACCTTCTCGCATCATAGACACACTTAAATATTTTAACCTTCGCTAAATAATTGAACTGAGTATGAAAACGCTTTCCCGTTTGTATGCAAATTTGAATGAACAATTATCTGATTGAAAGAACATTTTGAAAAATTGGACAGGTCAACCTATAATTCAATGTTTTTAATTATGATTTCCCTAATGAAACGTGGGCCGATTCGTTTTTGCAGGATACCTTGTATTTTTTAAAACAAAAAGCAATTGAATTTTTTTTCTAGAAATCTTTTAGTTGGAGTGAAAGTTGCGTCTATCACCAATCCCACAAGTCTTCCATACCATGCCAAAGTCGAACTACAACTTTTCAAATGCAATGTAACAAAGGCATTCCTTCGTCTTTATTCGCCCGTTGCACTTGTGAATTGACTTGTGATAAAACATAAAGTACGCAATTACTTGACTCTTACAGCTCTTTGGTTGTGGTCATCCAATCGTTCGAGTAATCCAGTGAGCCTGAATACCTTGCGTACACCTACACATGAGCCATTGCCTACACAGCATTTGCCTTCAACCACGCTGCTACATTTTCCGAGAAAGTCGAGAATCGTCCTGACCACAACCAACGAAGCATTCATGGATTTCACCGTGAACTTGTTGATGAGCATCGAGAGAACAGGCGCTCGTCCCGACGTCGTAGTGGTCGCAGAAGATGAGCAATCATTCAAGGAGCTATCGTTGCACCCTCATCCGGGACTACAAGTCGTTAAACCACACAACATCAGTGGTGTCAACATTGACAGTAAAAACGCCCACTACCTTAAATTTGGAACCGGTGACTACAACAAATTCGTCAATCGCAGGCCGAAATATATACTAGAATTTGTACAGCGTGGATATGAAGTGTTTTTTCTTGATGCCGACACTTTCTGGTTTCGAGACCCTTTTCCTTATCTTGAAGGCAATTTCGATATCGCTTACTATAATGACAGATTTGACATGTACAATATGGGCGTGGCCTTTTACCGTCCAACAAACAGGACTCTCCGTTTCTTGAAACACTTCGCGTTGACTTTAGAAACACAGAAGAAAGTCATACCGGATCAGAATGTCATGAACACGATAATAAGATCTCAGTACATTCCAGACCTTCGCATTAAGCACCTGAATAATGAAAACTTCCCAAACGGGGGCTTTTTCTTTCCATTTTTCCCCAACATGACTAAGTGCCGAGAAGACACCAGTACAACGGTGGTGTTTCACGCCGCTTGGATTAGTGGTCATAAGAATAAGAAGAAGGCGTTTCAAACCTGCCACATGTGGTTAACATCTTAAATAAATACATACCAATTTGTTTGCGCTCCTTTTCAATGCCCTCACAACCGCTCGAAACATCCCGATTGGAACGATCTATGGAATCAGCGGGATATTTTTAGTTTAACGCGGTAACAGTTTTCGTCCTTAAGGCCAAAAAAAGTATCCGGTTTCTGGTATGGAGCTTGCCCCAAAAGTGGTGCGGCGACGCGGTTTTTTCCCCTACTTTTTTCTTTTTCAAATGTCGGCTGATGTTGCAGATAACGCTTCGATCCCCTTAAAGCTCTCAAATATCCTTCAGAGTGGAGCTTGAGGTGACCTCGCCATAAGGCTTGAGAATTCAGCACCCACTTACGATCTCGACCAACACGAACATTCTTCGGGAAATATGGATAATCACTGTCAAGACAAAAATCAGAGAAAACGGTAGTAACGTTAGACCATACATCGACATCGTGCATGAGTGCCAGCCTGGTCATTAGTCTGCTTCCTTACATATTGCGCTAATTAAAAAGCGTTTACAGGTTCCAGATACACGACCATCGCTCCCTCAGTCTGGCTTCCAGACGCACAATAACAAAATTACAACACCGTCTGCAAATGGTGCCCGACTAAATTTAGTGCAAAATATATGGGAGCCCAGAGACGCCACATAAAGCTTATACTCGATCGTTACTCCATCTAAAAACACGTTAAAATTGTGGAACAGCAGGATTCTAGTCAAACCAGTGAGTTTGGCGGTTTTGAGACATCATCTTATATTGAAAAAAAAACTTTTTAATTTTGCCTACGCGCACGGCTACGGCGACGCGCGCGCAGACCAGAAACTGGAGACTTTTTTTTCCTTTGGCCTAATCGAGTGTTATGAAGAATATATTATATGCTTCCGATTAATATAAATTTTATTAGAAAAAAAAGTCGATTAAAGGGACACTGCGTCCTGGAATACGCCCAATTGGGCTACAAAACGCGTTTTGAACGAAATTATCTTAAGCGGAAAAAACATTTAAAAGTAGGATATAAACATCCACACAACTATCCTTTAAAAACTGAGCGCTTCTGTAGTATTCTTGTGTTATTCGTGCGAGAACGACTTTCGGGGTTGCGACCCCAAAAAGTCGGGCTGTTCGTGCTAGTTGTGATTCCAGCCGTAAGGGTTCACCTTTTGCGGACTTGAAAGAAATCACATTTTGTGCATTGATGATAGGTCACCGCTGTTCGTGAGCACGGTGCTGTGTACGTGTGTAATACTAGACACACACAACGTATATTGTACATTGTTTGAAAACGACAGGAAACACTATCATACTCCGTCATTTCGATGTAAACAATCAGGTTTTTTCCCCGTCTTTCTCGGGAACGGTAAGACATTAGGTTGTTTCCTTTCCACCAGATGTTTGAAATAGGATAAGTAAACAATCCAAAACATGGAATTTTCGGGGATTTCAGGACGCAGTGCCCCTTTAACCGCCGTCATTTTTTTGGATAAACTTCACGACTCTATCCAGTTTTTGTTCAAGTTTGTGTGTAGAATTCCCAAATTATGTAAAGTACTTACCTGCAATATAGTTGGAATTATATAAGAAAATGGAGGAGAGACTCAACCTGTAGATTGTTTCTCGTATTGCAATCTGATCCACCCTTAGAAGCTAATAGAACATACCTCATTAGCATAACCGGAGCTGAAGAAAAACTCGGACGAGACTTCGGCCTGTTGGTGTAAATCCCAGGAAAATAAAATGCGAGCAAGATGAAAAACGTGTGGAAAGACTGCGCAAAAAACAAACAAAAAAAACCCACAGATTCCGTGGGAGAACGAAGCTTTACCATCACGTTTGGGAAGGACCTTTTGTTATGCTAATGCGGTATGTTCCATTAGCTTCTGAGGATGGATCAGATTGCAATACGAATTCACTATTTCTTCATTTTATTTCCACTTCATTCACAGGCAAAGAACAAAAAATACAGCATTGACAAACACAGAAATACAAATACTAAGCACATAAGGACAGTGAATTATGAAGTGGAGGGAGCCCGTAGGAAGCAGAGCTTGTCGAGTACGGGACCCGTACTCGTACTGCATGGTTATGTACAGGTCAAATTCAATTGGATAAGTTAGACGAAATATAACAAACAAAACAATAACAGTTACACTTACAGGGACAAAAACACACAAATAAGTTGTGTCCTCAGTGGAAGTAGGTAATTAAAACATACAATCAGACAAACAAATATATTAAAAGAACTATATAAATAATGTGTAGCAATAGCAAACAGGATTAAGCAGCTCGGCATAAGACAAACAAATTAATTTCATGAATTAGTACATAAAGTTAAATTAAACAATAAGAACTGATTTTAGTGTCGTTAAATTTTTTTTTTTTAAGAGACAAGGAGTTAGAGCATTGTGTAAGTTTGTATGAAGGGAATTCCATGATTTGGGGCCTTGATTGTTATCAGGGAAGTATTTGTACGGGAAAATGGGAGGTGAAAATGCGAAGCCTGACGTGGAGAATATGCATGAATATGACAATTTCTGGAAAATATTGAAGCAAGGCAAATGGGTAATTTTATTAGGGCAAGTTGATACATGAAGGTTCCAAGTTGGAGAGAGTAAATATCGTTCAGCTTGAGGGTCCTAAGATTGAGAAAAAATGGGATTGGCATGAGCAAAGTAATGAGAACTGCTGCTTAAGCGAACGGCCCTTTTTTGTAATACATGTAGAAACAGTCTATTAAGTACAGTATGGGATGCACTTCCCCATGCCAGAGTACCGTAATTTAAATGAGGCAAAATGAGAGTATTATAAAGAGATAGCAAAATGCGCTGGGAAAAGTAGACTTTAAGTCTATTTAATACACCAATATTCCTGGCTACTGTGTTATATAGGGAATTAATATGTGTGGCTTCCATGTCAACTTATTATCTTATGTACATGTACAGCCCAAGGATCTTCGTGCAGTTTGTTTCACTAACCTTAATATTTTCTATTAAGATATCGCTCGGTAGAACAGTGAGTGTGTTTACTGAACAACATACGTTTGGTTTTCTTTATGTTCAATGAGAGTTGTTGGATTTAATCCAATTACAGACTGACACAGGTTCAGCATTCACTGTGTTGATTATGGTGTGTATGTTTTAGTGCAAATAAAAGAGATTGGAGTCGTCAGCAAAAAATATGAAGGAAAGTGTGTCAGATGTTATAGAAATGTCATTGATATAAATTAAGAAGAGTAGAGGTCCGAGGATAGATCCCTGGGGGACACCACATGTTAGCATGCGTGGGGTTGATGAACTTTCATTCACAGTAGTGACATATTGCTTCCTGTTGGAATAAGTAGCTGGCGAACCACTCCAGAGATTTTCCTCGAATACCATAATGATTCAACTTGTAAAGTCAGATGTTGTGATCCAGGGTGTCCAAGGCTTTAGAAAATCAAGGAAAACACCCAAAGTATGCTCAGAGTTGTCAATTCCTGTGGTAACTTCGTTTATCAGGTGAAGGATGGCATGAGTATATAGTGCTGTGCTTTGCTCGAAAACCAAATTGGTAATTAGAGAGAATATTATGTTTTATAAGGAAGTCAGCGACTCGTGTGTAGACCAATTTCTCAAGGATTTGTTTGAAAAACACGACAGAAGTGATATTGGCCGATAGTTACTAACTAGGCCTTTATCTCCGCTTTTGTAGATTGGCTATCTTCATGTCACCAGGAGCTATTCCTTGAGAAAGCGAAATATTCACTATTTTTATGTGTGAGAGGGTTAACAATGGCTGAAATAACTTTCTTGATAACAATAGAATTGATGGAATCAAAGCCACTGCTTTTTTGTCGGCAAGGTTGCTTACAACATCAGTTAGTTCTTGTGTAGTGACATGAGCAAGAAAGATAGAATGGGTATTTGGATTATTCGAATAATCTGCAAAAATAATGAGCAACACAGTGAGGAATTTAGGCTGCTAAATTGGAGCCAATGTATTCTGATATATAAGAAGAGTTGTCAGTGTAGTTCCCATTATGGGATGTAACGGAGATATTCTGAGAAGAGGAGTTCTTGTTAAATCAAATTAGGTTTTGCCCTTCACCGACGTTTTTTAAACACTGTATACTCAGTGTGCTACCTCCCGAGTGAAAGTTGGAAAAAATCACTTGGGTGGGACTCGAACCCACGACCTCCTGCTTTCTAGTGCAGATGTCTTACCACTCGACCACCGAGCTAACAGGATAGGTTGGCCGGTTCGAATCTGATGTACATAGCAGCGGGTACCGGCCAACCGATGTGTGTGACGCACAAAGGGCGCCCTCTTTTTATTGGCGCACGGAGCCCATAGACGAATCCAACGGAGACAAATTTGTTGCCTTTGTCGTTGGCGGCGCTGTTGCATTTGCCATTCCGAGGGGCCATTTTTAAAAACCGCTAAACGTAAACATGTTGCGCAATGTACGTGGCAACAGTGAACGAACTGAGACCATCCGTATCGAGCTCCAGTTTTAGGCTTTTATTGGGATTCTTTAGACCATTAAGGCTAAATAATCGACGAAGAAGAATAACGAAGGATCAGGAAAACACTGTGTCGTCGTTGGCTGCAAAAATACACGCAAAAAGCTGAGAAAATGGAAGCTTGCAACATGCGAATTACATGCACCAGAAACGCACGAATATTGTGTGGGTTTACAGCCGTACAAAATGCATCTTTTTCCCAACTGTTCCAACGCCAATTCCGCAGCCAATCGAAAGCAGTGGGTGAGGAATATCAACCGAAAGGACTTCAGACCTTCAAAAATACAGCACTGTAAGTTCCTTTTCAGGGAAGGACTGTGTAATTCATCAGACGGTACTTCAATTCATACTTCATGTTAGTCCGAGTAACTAGGACTCTACGGATAGCTTTTTTAACATTTGGACATGGGGTACGAGTGAAAATGGTCAAAATTTTTTATTAGTAACCGCAATAGGGCCAACGATCTCGGACTCTACTATCGCCCGACCATGTCCAAATGTTAAAAATGCGATCCGT